AAAACAGGAAGAGATAGGGAGCCTTGCTTCCAGCGGCCCCTTGGCCTTTCAACCCAACCCCCAAAGCCCGAAGCCCAGCCCGTGTTCGACAGACGTTTCCTGGCTGATCACCACGGAGGCCAACTGCCCGGCCACGCCCATGCCCAGGCCCCAGCAGAAGCGGCACAGCAGCAAGCAGCGCAAGGCCCAGACGCCCAAGCCCGGCAGGTCCCGCAGCAGGAGCCTCCCATGGACCCCCAAGGCTATGGGGAGGCCTCAATCAGGCCTGGGCTTGTGTTTGGGTTATCCGGGGACATCCAGAGATAGCCCCCCCCCACCTCATAGCCCCCCGAAGATTGCATGCTCCGAGGAAGCGAAAAGGCTCAAAAATCCATGGGACCAAATTCGGACTTGGTGACTTGGGAAAGCCACATGTTCAGCTATAATTCGGTCCATATTAGCTGGGTCAGACTTTCGGGGTCCAAGGCTGGCCCGATTGATAAAACCGAAGCTACTAAAATCATGTATGTTAGCTCACCCCCTCATATATGTATACATACACATATTAGCGGGAGGGAGGGTATATACATATATGTTCCAGGCCGTGGACCCCCCCCCCTCCCCCGCCCAACCGCCCCCCCCCCTGTGGGGGTGGGGTGGGTGGTGGGGTGGTTGGGTGGTTGGGTGGTGGGGTGGTTGGGTGGTTGGGGTGTGGTTCGGAGTTGGCTTAGGCTTGGTGGGTTGGTTTAGGGTTTGTTCAGGGTTGGTTTGCGGTGGGTTTGGGGTTTGGGTTGATTTAGGCTTAGGGTTGGGGTTAAGGAGGGGTTGCAGGGTGGTTTGGTTTAGGGTAGGATGTTGCGAGAGGTGCGGGGGTGTTGGTTCATGGGGTGAAAGGGGGAGTCTGGGACCGAAGCTGCAGGGCTCACACGGTACTGCACAGCATCCCCAGAATTGCCAGCATCATCCCCAAGATGCGGATGATGCGGGGGAGTGGGGGGACCATACCATTGCAGGGGGGGGGTTCGTGGCCCAGGGACTGGTACATATATAGATCAAAAACCAAAGTCATAAGTCATGATAAAGGTCTGCTAGAGTTGCCCCCCTCATGTACTGTATACATGACATGTATCTTGACAGGGAACCACCTCAAAGGCGGTTGGTGGACATGGATCCCCACCTAAATGACCACCAAAGGTGCCCCCCCTACAATTCACATTAAATGTATCCTGGGTTAATTCAATTCCAACCTTAAAAGGAGTCCCATGAGGCGATTTGTCCAGAATCGGCACCCCAAGAATCAGCGAGCTGCCTCTTGGCTCTCGCCCCGGTAAGGATCTTTAAGGAAAGGCTAAAGCCCCGTGGGGTGAAAGTAGATGAGGCACAATTCACAACATGCCAACATGAAATCACAATGAAAACACTGAACCCAATAAATTAACACATGTTTTCTGTCTTTTGTCCGAAACTCGGAATCTCCTCCAAGCTTCGGTTTAACGGGCTCACCGCAAGAACCGTGCCACATGAAGCATCAGGAAACTCAAAGAAATCAAATTGCGGCTTCCTTCAACCAACATTTGGACATGATCAAGGGTGATTGAATGTCCCTCGCACGGTTTCAGCATCGGGCCACTTTGAATGACAGGTGCAGTGCTGTTTGAAGCCAGCTTTTTAAGGAACCCTGACTCGCCCTGACTAGGTCCTCCAGTAGAGAGGATAGAATAAGGGTACCATTTTGTTCTGTAGTCTACTTTAGTCCGGGAATCCTTTTCCAAGAAAGGGTCAAAGGGCACTACTGGGGGACCTAGCTGAGTCCTTTCGCACCCTAAGACTTATCCAGGCTCTCGCCTCTCAAACCTTCCAGCAAACTCGAAGCTGCCAAGGCACACATAGCTCAGCACAGAAAGGACATCGCTGCAAAGACACAATTGCAGCCAGGACTGCCTGGCGTTGCAGCAGTGGCTTAGCCACGGTTCTGGTTGGGTGGCATTTTTTCACCTTCAAAGCGACGCGTTGGAAGGGGGAAAGGAACAGCGCCGAGCGGTGATTTCAACTCAAAGACAAGCACCCACAACAACATGGGTGCCAAAAAACCGCAAAATAGCCACCCCCCTATCCCCCATGCAGCCAGAGAATGGTCTTAGAGCGCCGGGTGGCAGTTTTCGCCAGGTCTCCGGCCAGAGACACAGCGCTGCAGTCATCAAAGCGTTGCCAACCATAGCGCCGGCCATAAAGATCCCCACCAGCAGCCCCGAGGCGGCCATTGAAGCGCCAATTTCGCGGCTCACCTCGAGCCGACGAGAGCAAACCGTACCACAAGCGACCAATGGCGCGCCCCAATGGCGCGCCACGCGCCCTGCCCCCCTCCTTCCTCCCCACCCTATCTTATTAATCCACTTGGATTCTCAGAGGGTAGTCTTAGTCCTCGCATATTTTTTACTTTTCAGGGTCAGCATCCTTAGGTACTTTCTTCTCTAGATCTACCTTCTTTTCTGGAGCTTAGCTCATTGATGGTCCAGTGTCTCTCTTTCCTTTCCTGGATTATTCAACCTTGTCCTACCCCATCAACCCCAGTGGGCATGTCTTTTTCACGGCGTGTTTTGCTTGCAATTTGCCTGCCCAACACAACTGGCTGGTGCTCACTATGGAATGAGGGACTAAACCGTTTGGGGATTCGTTTAAAATGTTTAAAGGAAACCATCCCTGCATCTCTCGAACCAGAAAATCAAAAGCGGGCCTTGTAGGAGTCGACGATCACCACTGTGAAGGATATGGCCTGGACAAACTGCATCTGCAGCAAGGCGCTCCGCGCCCCTTCCATCCTTGAGGTGGCGTTTGCCGGGCGGGCCAAGGCGTCCAAAGAAACCCCCAAGAGAATCGAACCAAGTTGTCCTGTTAAACATTGGATTTGGTGCATTTTTCGGAACGAGTGTGCCTCTTGGAATGGAGGAAGGCTTGATCAAAAAGGCTCCTTCCGAATCTTGAGAAGGGGCCTGGTTTCATTGCCCATGAACAAACTGGGGTTGGACTCGAGTGGTTCTTTCTGGAAGAGCCAAAAACCAACAAAGGCATCCTTTCTTTGGGCATTGGAACGGCCAGTCTATGTACAAACAAAATGGGCTGTCAACAGTGTCTATAAAAATGCCGGGGTTATAGGAGCAAATCCTTTCAGAAGGGTGGTCTCTTGGGATGATGGCGCACAACCATCTCACCAAAGGTCACCCAAAAAACTCTTGACGTCAACCTCTGATTCCAACACCGTTGCAAACCTCAAGGTCACCCACGGGAAATCTAAAGGGAGATAGCTTTTCAGGGTTTAACCGTTGGCAGAAAAGAAAGCAGCTAATAGACCCAATCGATTTGAAGGTCCCCAGCTGGGTAAATGGGTTTGGAACAAGAATTGAATTTAAGGATAGACCTTGCCAAAACCACAGCCCTTGAGGGAGAAGCAGGAATCTGGGCGTCTCTTTTGTGGGAGTTGGCACCTTCTGTGAAACTGATACCTGGTTTGGAGCTTCTTTGTTTTAACAAAGGCAACCGTTTAGCATACGAACAGCCATTCCCGGTTGCTCGCGCAAAAACTTGCGCCTAAAGAAAAACATAAAACATGTGCAACATTGGCAATTGTGTTTTGCAAGCGCTCCTTAGCTTCCTCGCGACCCTGGCAAACAATCACAATTCGTCATTGAAAGGCCCGACAAAAAACGCTTTTCCTGTGTCTACGAATGTTTTGGTAGAGACACTACTAGTACCCGAAAGACCCAGTCTAGTCCCCCTTGCAAGGGCTCTGAAGCCGTAAATCACAACAAGAAACCAAAAAACGCCGGTTGGCGGTGTTTGTTTTGAGGGTCTGTAACGCGCGACGCGGCGCAAATCTTGCTACGGAGGTATGTAACGGGGGCCCTTGCTACGGAGCTGTGTAAGGGGAAAACAGCGCTTGACAAGCATCTGCAGCACAATGTGGAGCTCCAGCTTCGAAGAAGCCGCAACTATTCAGTGCAAGTGCAGGGCGCAAAGCGCTGGTAGCGCAGAAAGAGGGTTCTTTCTCGCGGCCCTACCTACAATCACTAGTTGACTGCAAGCTGACTCTTCAGCGAAAGCATGCTCTGAAAAAGTCTGCCCTGCAAGCACTCATGGGAAAT